ATATTTCATGTGCTCCCACTGCCTCTAGTTTGTTCAGTGCAAAAAAAAGGAAATACTAACGCTGAATCATGGGTTACTCCCCAAACACGCACATGTGTTTATATTCTTGCTATCAGCAAATAGCTGAGGGCCAACGTGCCAAGGTAAAGCCCTGCTGCAGCCCAGGGGACCGCAGCTGTGGCACACACCAACTGCAGAGCTGGGCTCTTCTCTGGCACCGGGAGAAAGCAGGAAGGGTGGCACGGAAACTGACGGGCATAGCCAGACGCAAAACGAGTGGGCATTCACATCAGACCTCCACATCTTTCTCCCGGGGAGTTCACCAGCTGAGGGGAAAATAAAGGCATGGATCAGGAGAAAATGTAACCTCTTGTGCTTGTTCCAGGGTTCCTAAACTTTCTTGCCTGTTGTGTGTGTATGTGATTCCTTGTCAGGGTACTTTGTGGTGGATAACATTTTCCATACATAGATTTTTAACCTCTTGAGCTCTGTAACAGTTCTCCAAAGTCCTGCTGCAAAACCTGTGAGCCAAACTGATGCTCTTAGCCCAGCGCTGGTGCTCTGCAGATGTGCTGTGCATGGCTGTATATAGGATGTGTATATAGGTCCTCCAAGCACCCTGAGTGGGTATCAAACTTCAGGCAGGTGACAGTCACAATTACCCCAGGGGACACAGGACATCTTGGTATGTACTGCCTGTTTCACGGGCAGGCAAAATGAGACAGAGAAGCAGTAAAGTCACATTTGGGAACACCCTGCAGCACAGAGGCAGGGGCAGAGCTGGGAACGGGCCACCAAGATCCTTGTCTGGCTTCCTTGGCTGTACTAAGCCATAGGACTTGGTGCAGCACAGGGCGAGGTGCGGGCAGGAATGTGTGGAGGAGGCTTCCAGAGAACAAAACTGGTTTCTTTTGTGCTTCTGGGTGGATGTAGGAGCTCAGGCAGACGTGGGTGAAGTGCACAGACTGCCCTAAATCACACTGACTTGCTACAGGTGTCTCTGCAGAGCCCTGTGTTCTGGCTGCCTGAATAGGAGCCGCCACAAAAAATATTAACCAGTCTCTGCTTAATTCTGCCATTATAAGTGTTCCTGTGGGGTAGCGGGAGGAGGGAGCAAATGACCAGATAACCCAGCTCAGAGGTCACTGGGAAAAACAGCGTCTTTCTGACCTGTTTTACCACTTAAGCACTGCAAAAGTGCTCGGTGCAAGAGAAACATCCAGAGCCCTTTTCTCAGGCCTCTGTTTCCCCCACAGCCCAGGAGCATGCCATGCCTGGGACAGTCACCTGCCTGAACGCAGACAATTCTCAGCACTTCACTCAGTCTTGTGTTTCCTCTTGAGTCCTCTGTGGTGTTTGTTTTGTTTTTGTTTCTTGTAAAACACCAGCCAGATTTATTCTTTGTCATGCTGGCATAAAGTTAGTCTGCAGACTATAGAATTACTCTGTGTTTATAAATTTCTTTCTGTATTTTACATGGTTGTAAGATTCCACCCCACTGGTGAGGAAATGCCATAAAATACTGCCTTCCACGGCAAGGATGCTGACGGTCCTTCTGATGCTGAACTGGATGAACAGTGACAGTTTGGACAACTCAGCTTTGAAACACAGTGAAGGCTGTCTTGTCCAACCAGTCCAAAACATGACAGAGAATAATAATTTAAAAAATGAATCTCATGATAAAGGAAGAATGGAAGGAGAAAGGGCACTTTAGGATCATAGTTGTTTTGTGATTAAATTGTTATGATTTTTTCTGTTTTGTTTTTACAACTGGATTGATACTAAGTGGATTGTGGTCCATTCTGTTCCTGTTCTAGCTTTATAATGCATCCCATGCCGTATTTACTGAGTGCCTCCAAGCATTTAAGTGAATAGGATGATGAATATCTATCACGCAAATGTTCTCTCCTCTCCATGGAAGGAGACATTTCTGCAGTACAGGACCTTGCTTGAGTAAGGTGGTTTGAGTGGGGTTTTTTTTGCTTGTTATTTAAGTTTAGATTGGGGAAGGAGTTCTCCTTCCAATCAGTACGTGTCTCTCTGGGTTTTCCCTAAGGAAAGCAGGTCAGGGGAAGTAATATAGCGTGCACTTGGAGTGGAAAGTGACAAGACTCGCAACACATCTCAGCCTTGGGGCCTCATAATGATGGGAGCATTGTTGTGTCAGAGGCCAGGATCATGGTCTTCATAGAATCACAAAATCATAGAATGGTTTGGGTTGGAAGGGACCTTAAAGATCATCAAGTTCCAACCCCCCTGCCATGGGCAGGGTCACCTCCCACCAGACCAGGTTGCTCAAAGCCCCGTCCAGCCTGGCCTTGAACACCTCCACGGATGGGGCAGCCACAGCTTCTCTGGGCATTCACTCTCTTGAATAAGGACTGAACAAGTTGCCCACACAGAAGCTGGCCAGATCCCCTGTTTGCCCTAACCCAGCCTGCTTCAGTACCCTCAAGCACTGCAAGGATTTTCTTTGGAAGCAGGAAGTATAAATTCCAATGAAGAACATGGCTTAAGCCACGAGGAAACTTTCAAGACCCAAGGTGGGACTTCTACTTGAAGAACGCACACTGAGACTGCAGGAGAGTCAGAGTGGGACTATCTTTTTGCTCTCTTTGTACGGAGCCAACACCAGGCAGAGGACTCCTCAGCAGCACCAAGCAGCAGTGCTGGTGCCTGGCGACCTGCATCTGCCTATGAAAGACACTTTCCTCCCTTCTTGCCTCCGTTCCTTGTCCCTGGATGGGACCAGCAACCTGTTTCGGTTTGTGCTTTCCATTTAGGCTAACCTCAGACGCTCGGTTTCCACTTGATTGGAACCAAGTGTGCTGAAAGCTGTCTGCTCTTTCCTCACTGTACAGTGTGGACTGCTGCCTGGCTCCAATCTGGAAACAATTATTTCCCTCCTCTACCTACCCATTCTGAAAGGGGATTTATCCCTAGACATATTTTTTTTCCCTCTTTCCACTTTTATTAACTGCTTCCTTCATAAATAAAAGCTTGTTGTTGCGGATAATGCCCACGTCACATATTTCTGTTACGTAAGAAAAAGGCTGTGATGTTTTAAGGCCAGGTCTTCCTTAGGGAGTTCTGATGCAATGATGGTCCTTGAATTTGTGTGACTTTAAGAAAGGGCTTTAAGCACCCATTGTGGTTACACTGGTGTAAATACTCTTCAACAACCCCAAAGAAGAGTCAGAACACGCATGGATACGCAGTGGTGCCTGCAAGATGCTATTAGCATGGCATAGTGCAGCTGGTTTTAAAAAAAAAAGTACCTGGTACCTGTTTATCTGCATGCATTCCTGGATTTATTATTTCTTTCCAAAGTCCCTACTTTTAGATGTGTGTATGAGGGAATGGGAGCAAACGGATGACCCGAATCTGCAGATATTTGCAGACAGGGGGAAGCTTATGCCCATGAATAGCACCATTATACTTGGCGGGGTCACTTTTCTGAGAAAGACTGACCACTTTTACTTTGTTTCACGAAAGACCAGTTCCTGACCGAGCGCAGACACTGAGGAAACGGATTGGAGTGGAAAGAGTCTAAAAATCTCTTTTCCTGCCCTGAATTCAAAATAGCGTTTCTCTTACTGGAAAAACAAACATAAGCTCATTTTGGGTGTCTCTGTCTGTCTGCCTGTGGGATTGGCAATCCACACCTCCTGCAGATTCGGAGACCTCTCTGCCCCAGTTTAGGCTCTGGAGGTTATGCCTTAATTACAGAAAGCTGATCCGCTGTGACATCAATTTCCCTCTCCGGGGAAAACTCCGAGCTGTGAAATCCCAGCAGAGACCAGAGACAAATTGACGTTCTTTTTTTTTTTTTTTTTTTTTTTTGTCATCGTTGTTCTTTTTTTTTCTATTTATTTCCCTTGGCCAGTCCAGACCAACCCCAAACCTGCCATCTGGGTTTGACCTTGACTCCTGCTTTGGGAAGGAATCGCAGAGCCTGCTCTCCCAAAAGTGCTGACATACAGACAACTATTTCCATTGAGTTATCTTGATACAGAAATCGTGCTGTATCGCAGCCAAGAGCCTGCTCCCTCTGCCAAGCAGGACCCGTGTCTGGGGGCTGCAGGAGCTGAGAATCACAGAATCACAGGATCTTCTAGGTTGGAAGGGACCTTAAAGGTGGTGTCTGTGGCCTATCCTGGATCAGAGGGGATGGACGTTGTCCCTGGACACGTTAACTACAGCCCAACCTAAACCTGGGGCAACGCCACAGAGGGTGGATGTCCTTACAACCCCGGTGTTTGGGGATGCGGGGGGTGGTCAGGTCACCTCCCCACCCAAAGGGAGGGCTTCCCACCGACTTTGGTCTGGTGTGAATGACCAGCATCATCCACATGTTGGCCATCCACACATTTGGATCTGTGAAGATGGGCCCAAACCGCTGTCCATGCCCGGGGGCACAGGAGATGCTGGGCCAGTTCGCACCTTCCAACCGGTCTCACGGGGAGGTGGGTGGCCTTCAGCTCCACGTTCCGAGGGGTGCAGCCACCACCCTTTGCCACCACCACTGGACCCTGGGGGGGCAACACGAAGGCCGGGGGTGGGCTGGGAGGCGGCTGTCCCTCCACCCCGGGGCTCGGGGGGACACATCTCCGGCTCCGGCCGCGGGTGGAAAAACGGCTCGTGTATCTTTAACCCACAGCGGCCAAAACGCGGCGGCGGTGGGTTGGTTTCTTTTTTTTTTTTTTTTCTTAATCTTGCCGAACAGAGAATGCCCCTCCCATCCATAGGCTTATTGAGGGAGCAAGTCAATCTCCGATCTGTGGAATTTCCGCTGAGTTCAACCCCAGACAGGCTCACAACTTCCTTCCTGCTCTCCTACCCCCTCCCTCCGCTCTCCTCCTCCTCCTCCTCCTCCTCGCCGCTCCTCTCCCTCTCCTCCTCTCTCGCCTTTCTTTCCAGCCGCACCGGGAACGGGCGCCGGGGCCGCGGCGCGGATCTGGCCGCGCAGCCTCCGCCGCCCAAAGCGCGGAGAGGGAGAACCCGGGTCCGAACCCGCGGAGGGAGCGGGACCGCGCTCCGCGCCCGCGGAGATGGTTTCCCCAGCGCCCTGCGGCCGCCGGCGCTGCCGGGCGCTGCCGGGCACCGCGCACTGAAAGCGGGCGCGGATCTTGCTCCAGGTAAGCGGCGGTGGGGTTGGGAGGGGGGGGGACCCCAACGACCCCTCCACCGTGGTACTACCCCCCCGCCGTGGTACTACCCCCCCCCCCCGTCGAGTCCGGGGGTCGCAGCGGGCGGTGCGCGGTACCGGGCGGGCCTTCCGCGGGGAGGAAGGGGCGAGGTGTGGGGGGCGGGCAGAGGGGCAGGGACGGAGCAGGCTGTCCCGCACCCAAAATCTGGCCGAGCACCCTTGTGCCGCTGCCAAAGCGCTGCGAAAAGGGGGTGCCCGGGATCTGCTGAGGTTCGGGTTCCCTCCGAGCAGCCCCCAAAAGGGATGAGGGAGCCTTTTGGTCACTGAGGAACGCGCTTAGACCTGGGGGTATTTACCTGCCACGAGCCTCACGGGGACACACAGGGGTACCCCTGATGGCATGGCACACAAGTGCTTCCGAAGAGGTGTACACCACAGCCCGAGTTAGTGTACACTACACGTTTGTGTAGATTTCACAGGTTCCTGTGCCCCAGCATGGGATGGGGATTGCAGCTCCGGTGGCACATGGGGCAAACAGACGTGAAGGAAGGGGACACTAAGAGCCACCTATGAAAGTAGAGTCTCCCACCACGCATACAGCACCACCACATGTGCCTGTACGTGGGATCCAGGCTGTGACTTGAAGGCTGCTGCAGCAATCTATGCCCCAGAAGGCAGACGTGCTCAAAGGAGACACGTTTAGACAGGGCGGGCGTGAAGGTGTGCAGGGCCGTGTTGTTGCCCAGGGTAAGTTAGGGAAGTAGTGGAGATGTGGCCCCACAACCATACAAAACCCTGCAAGCAGGGAGCCTTCACGTGTATCATTGAACAGGAATCCGTGCTTAAGGCTTGATCTCGGTGGTAGGTGACAAACTGGAAGGTGGCAAACTTGATCTGTTTGGAGTTTTTGCCTTCCTTCAGAAAATGTCACCTTTTGGGGCCAAAACTTGAAAGCTGCCAGCCTCCAGCTCACCCCAGTCAGCCGTAACTCCCTGATTCTGTTTCAGGAGCAGCTGCTGACCGGCTGTCCTCTCGGACACTGCTGCTGTGGCTGCATCAACCGGTGACACGGAGAGGGGGAGGGAAGGCAGAAAAGGGGGGCCCCAAACCTGATTTCCCCTTGTATCAAACCCTTCTGGCACCCAGGCTGGGCCACGTCCCCAGGGGTGGCACCCGAGGGATGCGGGCAGGTGTGTGCAGGAGCTGGGAAGAGGGCACACAGGAAGGGAAGAGTCCAGCCAGCTGTGTGCACAGCTGGAGGGTGAGCTTAGCGGAGGGCACAGAGCGACTCTCACTGCTTCTCTCTCTCTTCTCTCTCCCTCCAGCTGTCCCGTTTTATGGAGCTGTGGGCCGGAGCCAGCCCAGCTCCCTTGCTGCCTCCCGGCGATGCTGCTGGTCCCGGTGCGGAGAGACCCTCAGCGGCCCCGCGGAGCCTGAGCGCCGAGGCGGCGGCGGCAGCGGCGGCGGCCCCCCTGTGCCCCCAGGCTGACTACTATGGCCGTGTACTGCTATGCGCTCAATAGCTTGGTGATGATGAATAGCAACAGCCAGGTGACAAGCGGCGGGAGCAAGACGCCGCCTCCTCCCAGTCAAGTGTTGCCCAGGAGCCCGGAGACAGCCGGCAGCTGCTGCCCGCTCCCCGTCTTCAGCCCGGCCCCCGTGCCACCCCGCTCCCCACGCCGTGGCCCCGCTTTCCTCTTCCCGCCTTTGGAGGAACCTCCAAGCCGGCAGCCGGGCAGCCCCAGGGGTCGGCGGGGCAGCCGGGGAGAAGAGGGGCAGCCAGGACCCCCCACGGCACGGCAGCTTCAGCGGGAGCTGCACAACGTCCAGGTGAACCAGAAAGTGGGGCTCTTTGAGGCACAGATCCAGGCACACAGCTCCACCACCCAGCCGCCGCGCAGCCCCCGGCCGGCGTCGCCCCGGCTGCGGCCCGCCAGCCCCACGGTGCCGATGGTGGGACCTGGAACTGGACCCCAGCCTCAAGCCTACAGGGAGAGCGAGACCCACAATCTTGGTGGGGTGCAGGTCTGGCCGAGCACTGCAGAGCCCTCGGGGAGGCCAGTGGTGGTGGTGGTCCCAGCTGTGGGGCTGGTGGAGGGCAGCAGCCCCCTGGAATCGTCAGAGCCTGGACCACGGCGAGGTGAGGTGGTGGTGGCCCCCACAGGACTCGAGGGCCAGTGCCCAGCCGTCGGCGGGAGCATCCCCGCCGTCATCGTCACGGACTTGGGGGGCCCGGAGGAGGAGGCGGGCGCCGTGCCCCCCGGCAGCCTGCCCGTCCGGAAGCTGTCGTCGTCCTCAGCCTCTTCCACTGGCTTCTCCTCGTCCTGGGAGGAGTCCGAGGAGGACATCTCCAGTGACCCCGAGCGCACCCTGGACCAGACCCCAGCCTTCCTGCAGACCCTGGACCAGCAGAAGCCCCGAGTGGTGAGTCTTGCAGCAGCCCTGGGGAGGTGGGGCGAGGGCTGGCAGCATCCCTGCTCCGAAGCAGAGCTGCAGGGGGAGGGCAGAGGTCTGTCGCAGCGGAGATCTGCAGAGAAACTTTCCATGTGCTTGGTTTCCCTCACGTGAAAAGCTTATCCCTCTTCCTAGTCTGAAAATCCCCTGCTCTCAGCAGAGAGCAACGCCACCCGTCCCACAGTGTATGGTCCTTACCGTGCAGCCATGGACTGCAGCCTTCTGCTGACATGTGGTTATGAGCCTCAGCTTTCCCTCAGCAGGGCTTCCCGGGGTGCTGGAGGTTTCTCATTATTTACATGAGCCTAAGGGGAAAATTTATTTCCTTCTTGGACTCAAAACTGTGTGGGCCAACTGTCTGTTAAAATTTCTACTGATGGCCATCACCATAGTGTCTGTGTGCCTTTCACATGGAAGCAAAATTCTCTAGAATGTCTGGTAATTCCCCTTTTGAATAAAACTTCTTTGCTTTTGCAGCATCTTATATTTTAGGTAAACATATTTTTATTAGGTGTTTATATTAAGTTAATTTGTTTCTGGATTTTTTTTTTTATTGTGGGGCTGGTTGGGAGGCTTCAGGCAAGAGGAAGCATCAGTGGTGTATTACCCTTAGAGCAGAAAGATCTCCTCGGAGAGGAGGGCTTTGAGGCTGTCTCCAGAGGCAGACACTCCACTCATGGGATTTCTTGCGTCACTTGGGAAGTTTGTTCCATGTCTGAATGCTCTGCACAGGGCGTGCTTTGCTCTGAGCTGTCACACCATTTATCCAGAGGGCTTTGAACTGCTTTACCCCAATGCAAGGTGCCCATCACGAGGTTTTCCAGCCAGCACATGGAGACTCACTCCTCCAGCTGGGAGATGTTACATTGATTTGAGCTCAGCACTGGAGCCTTGCACTGACAAACCCTGAAAAAACGCAGGGCAGCCCACTGGCTCCTTAATTTTAAAGTTTGATAAAGGCCCATCAGCTTCCAGTGATGTGGTGCACTAGGTTTAACTTTGTGTAGACATATGAGAGTGAAATTCTTGGTAAGCTCAATGACAGAAGGAAGACCGGTGCAGGAAAACATCAGAGTAGAGCGAAGGTGTCAAACTCATGAAGAACTGACAGGCTGTGGTTTATAAAACACTCAGAGGGCTGAAATAAATATCTTTGCTCTTCTACTTGTTTTCGTCCTGTTCCAAGAACTCAGGCTCAGTTCTGCTCAGCATGGAGCAGCAGTTGGGTAAAAGCACAGTTAATGAAGTTACGAGTCTGTGGCTCATCGTGTTTGCAGACAGTTTTGTATTTCGGGGCTCTCAACTGATGAATCAGCTCATTCCCTTTGGGAGCTGCTACAATCCCTCTGCTGATTAAAAACCCTCTGCTGGGTTTGTGTGCATGAGCTGTAGTAATCTCTGCTCTGTTCTCCATGCTAATGACTGTTCTAGTGCCAGATCCCACTGATTTGCTGCTGAAAACAGTTCGCTGATGGGCAAAATCATGCCTGATGCTCCTGTGGAAAGCTTCCTGGAGCCTCAGGCTGCTTCTGACCAGCTTCCCGTGGCCTCCAGAGAGCTCAGCCAGGCCGGTGGCTCAGCAATGAACAGGCAGATCTCGTTCCTGTTGCCAAAAGGCCTGGATCAGAGCGAGCCCAGATCAGGTCTGAGGTCAGAGTAACTCTGCCGGGCTCAGTGGGACTACTCCAAGCTAAAGGAGATGAAGATCTGGTCCAAAGCGTGTCAGGCAGCCTGAGGAGGTCCACTTGATTTTGTGTTTCAGGGCTGGAGTCGTCTCAGCAGGAGCAATTGGGCTAATTTACAATGATACTTTCCGCTGGGCTCCACAAGGTCCCTGTGCAGGGCTGATCTCTGGCTTTGGCAGGTTATAGTCAACTTCTCAGCAGGATCGTGCGCAAATGCCCAGTAATTCAAAGCTGATTCATATAAATAACACCCAACTTTGTGTACCGGTTGGCAACATCTTTTAAATCCGTAATAACAGCAAGAAGGCAGCTACTGAAGCCGTCTCAGGTTGCACACTCATTTGTTTTCATGAACTCACTATTTCCTTTTAGCAACGCACACGGTCTGGAAATGAGTTAGTTGTGTAATGAGGGAGAATGTGTGAGAAGCTCCCTCTCTCCGCGACTCGTGCTTTTCCGTCAAAATAAATCCTGGGAGACCTCAGCTGACAGAAACCTGAGGTGGTGCCTCCGGGCAGAGCGGATAAATGCCGGGCAGGCGGAGGGAGAGCCCTGCCTGTCTGCACCAGGGTGCTGCTGGCACAGGGGAGGGGGATTGTACCTGGAGGAGAGGTAAAGATGAGCAACAGGAAGGCAGTCTGCGCCGCACATCTCCCCGTGGCGTGTTTACAGATTTGATAAACAGCAGGCTTGCTTCTGCCCTTCCTTTCTGGAGGCTGTCTGGCTTAGCAGCTCTGTTAGGGATGTCCGGTTGTCTATCGTAGTTCCTCCTGGTGTCCCCGGGAAACGGGCAGATCCCTCTGGCTGGCACGGACCCGTCCTCCATTCCTATTTCAGGTAGGAAACTTTGCCGTTGGGCCCACAAATTGGCCAGTAAGGAAATGCTGTCGTTAGCAAAAGGGAGGGAGTGTGGCTGCTTTTTTGGACACCGTGACCTGGAGCAGCTCAGTGGCCGATACGGGCTCTGCCTTTGTTTATTGAAATAGTTTACTCAGTGCATTCCCTGTCCCCAAAGTGCTCCGGTGCCCAGTGGGCAGCACAGCACTGGGAAACGGTGACTCTGATGACAGCAGACTTGTGAAGTGCGGTGACAGTAGGAGCAATTTGACGTCTTGCTGTTGTCTAATTCCAAGTCCACTTAAGGTCTGAGTAAACCTCCACGTAAGGGCTTTTGCAGCTGTGGCTTTCCCCGGGCTGTGGGCTGCTGCCGGAGAAACCCCACGCTTGTTTATTGATGCTTGCAAGGTTTCAAAGACACTTACTTGAGTGATTACACTTCTGGGGACGCGTGGGAGGGGACAGCGTGTCCAGGCAGCGTGCTGGGATGGGGACACTGCGGTTTGACGATGCGGCAGCGGGGCAGCACTCGCTGTGACGGTGACGTGGGCATTTTGAGGAAGGAGCCAGTGCCTCCACTCACCCACCACCCAAGCCAGGGGGACACAGCGGCTGTTGCAAAGTGCCTTTCTTCATCCTCCAAGGGAGGATTTCTCTCCTCCTGGCTGATCAGACAGGTTTGGGTGTGTAGGGGACTGAAAAGGTGCTCCCTGTCCCAGGCTCTGGGTGTCAGGGACTCTTTGTCAGGGAGTGGAACAATAGGACGAGGGGGAGCGGTTTTAAACTGAAAGAGGGGAGATTTAGATGAGATCTCAGGAAGAAATTCATTCCTGGGAGGGTGGTGAGACACTGGAACAGCATTGCCCAGAGAAGCTGTGGTTGCCCCATCCCTGGAGGTGTTCAAGACTAGGCTGGATGGGGCTTTGAGCAACCTGGGCTGGTGGGAGGTGTCTCTGTCCAACACGGGGTTGGAACTCAATGATCTTTAAGGTCCCTTCCAGCCTAAACCATTCTATGTTTCTGATTTTACATCCAAAACAACCCTGTTCTAGCTGTGACTCCCATGGGAAAGTTCTGATTTTACATCCAAAACTACCCTGTTCTAGCTGTGACTCCCATGGGAAAATATGGATCTATGAGTTTTGCTGTTCCTGGGGGACCCCGTTTGCTCTTTTCAAGGGAGAGCAGATAGATTGGGGTGCACTCAGCAGCAGGAGGCTTGGCCTCAGTCGTGGAAGCCAACTGTGCCCCCTAAGTGAAAGGTATTCCAATGCTGGTCATCGTAGTGAGTCGTCCTCATTGACAAAAATACCTTAGTTTGTCAATTCCTCAGCAAATAGAGACAAGCAACAGACGAGTTGGGGGAAAGGCAGGAATCGTGCAAGTCCATACTATAGAAAAACGACAGGTCAAGGGAAAAAAACCACCCCCCTGGAAAAACAGTGCAAGATGCTGCCATGTTCCTCTTCCTGGCTTTCCCACAGCCACTGTGGAAACACAAGGAGATAGAGCAGAACAGTCATCAAGTGACTGTCAGTATGTTGTGAAACCTCTGCTCCTCTCAACAGGCAGAGCAGCTTGCTCAGAATAAGAGACTTCCATCAGCCTGTGCAAAATGGCAAGAGTTTTTGGAAAAAGCTAATGGCGTTGCTGCTGACAGGCGATTTTTTTTAATTGATTTATTTGTTTGACTCACAATGGCTGTAACGCGTTTCCGAAATGAGCCAAGTTTAGACAGGACCAGTGTCAGCCAAAGGCCTGTGGGACCCTTGCTTATTTCTCTTTGAGGAGTTCCAAAGCATAAGCTGACAACAGCACTCCTGATTTGTTCCTATACAAATCGATCAAATGAAATACTCTTTGATTCCCTTTCCTAAGCTGTCACTGTGCTCAGGAAGTCTCCATGTAACAGAAACCATGACCACACTACGGTAATGCATGCAACCGCTGTGAACGTATATCTTTATGCTGACTGTGTTTATGTATTTTACCTCTTCCTCCCACCATGTTTGTCTTAAAAGCTCCTCAGCTTATGAGTAGTATCACAAATTTAGTATCAATTTAATGTCTGTCATATTAGGGCCCTGCTTTCATGCTCTGGGGAGCGACTGTTACTCCAGTAATGCGTATCGTTGCCCAGGGAAGGTCTTTAGTACAACGGCTCAGATGCCAGAGGATGGAGCCTCCTTTATTCCTGCTGTGGGAAGACTAGGAGGAAGAGAAAAAGGAGGTGGACACCTCCATGTTTCTGCTCTTGGAGCACCAGACTCAGCAGACCTGACAGCATGGCGTGTTTTGTCTGCTGGGTTGAGATTGGGCACCCCCTCCAGTGCCCGGCGGGCTGGGCAGAGCTTCAGGCTCTTCGTAGATGGAGACTCTGCACTCCAGGGAGTTCACAGAATCACAGAGTGGTAGGGATTGGAAGGGACATTCAGAGATCATCTAGTC